AATATCGGACAAAATTTTATGTTTTCACTGAACAAAAAGTTTAAGTCGGCTGCGTAGAAAGTAAATGAAACTTCGTAGAATTTTGTGATGTGTTGATATTGGTTGCGTATGATTAGTTGTTCAGTTTTTTCAGTTTATTTTCTACTAATCTATATTTTTCTTCGTCTTTTTTCTGTACCATATACAACTGTTGTAGAATTCAATGCGAAATCCAACAAAAACCATTCCTTTATTCTCTCGTTTTCATATAAATAGTGAAGTCCCACGTTGATTAAAGCATCACACTCTCATCATGCGTTTTTTGCATCTATACAATGCAAAGACGCATATTGTCGAAGGGTTGTCTGTGTGTGTATGCATTTGTGTCTGTGTGTGCGTCTGCAACGAGTTTTCATATTGAGATCCACAAAAGCTACAAGGCTAAAGCTTTGATAACATAATCTACACATACGTGCAGGCTTCTGTCCTCAAAATGAATGCTCACTTCCTTGTGGTTCTCACGTACAGGCAGGTAAAAGTTTTTTTACCAGAAAATCGTTTTCGGGAACGGCGCAAGCTAGAAGGCTGGAACTTCTTAAAGGTGTTCTTTTGCCGCGTCTAATCCAAAGATTACAATTTCAGTCTTCACGCACACCTAGGTCTCACGTGCGCACATGTCAGAGCCTAAACTGACATCATGCCAACTCAAGATTTAAGCTGACCAAGAAGTTGTAGAAAGGTTTAGTTCTGTAGCTTTACTTGTCGCCCACTGGCGTGCCCATGGAAGCCGTTCTGCATCTCACATTACGGACACGTGGAAATTTCACGTATGCATTTTTGTAACTTCAGAATTGAAGCAGCTAGAGGATTGGAACTTTCTGAGCATTACCGACGGTGGTCTTTGACCAGATCGACATAAAAACGATTTGCACATCACTTTCACGCCCTATGTGCACACATGTGGAATTTGGCTTAACTTCGCAGCCAAAACAGCTAGGGCATTCAAATTTTCTGAACGTTGTTCAGGACTGTGTTTGAGCAATCGTTTACGAAGAAAGCATTGACGCTGCCTGACGAACGTGTGAAATTTGACGTAGCTCCGCAACCAGAGCAGCTGGAGTGCTGAAAGTTTGTGAATGTTGCCCAAAAGCACGTAGAGTGGTGAATTTTCTGAGCATGGATTGGAAATCGTTGTAATATTTTCTAATAGTCGTGGTGGTCACTCGTAATTCTCTTAGCTAGAAGCATCTACCAAAAAAAAAAAAAACTGTGCCTTTAGCGATAAAAAAACCAGCGAGGGAACTGTGCAAAAAACGCATCTTAACACCGGCGGCCTGTT